AAAGGGGTTGGGACGCGTTAGTGGACTGTGGGCTATACGTATGCGATAAATATCGGGTAAAATATGGAAGACGTGTCAAATATCATAGAGAGTATGGTGTCCGAAGTATAGGGCATGCGGAGCACTATACGCGTGGGAAAAGAGAAACGAGTGTGCATATATGCGCGATAAATGGCGAAAATAATAGTGTTCGTGACAAACGTGTGGTGGGCGCCCAAGAGGTACTGGCACCATTCCTCTAGCGCAAGCATGATGGCGAGAAGCTCCTTGTTGTAGATCTTGTAGTTGCGTTCGGCCTCGCTTAGCGACTTGGAGAAGTAGGCCACGGGGTGCCATTTTCCGTCTGTGGCCTTCTGTAAGAGTACTGCACCTGTTGCAAAGTCAGAGGCATCGGCCTCAACTCTGAACGGGAAGTTGTCGACTGGGATGACAAGCACGGGCTTGGATGTTATGCGCAGCTTGAGTTCCTCGAAGGCGAGCTGCTGTTCAACGCCCCATTCCCAAGGGACGTCTCCGGTAAGGCGATGGAGCGGGCGAGTGACGTGGCTGAAGTCCTTGATGAAGCGGCGGTGGAAGTTGCAGAAGTCTAGGAATGACTGTAGCTCCTTTTTGCGCGTTGGGACAGCCCACTTGGCAACGGCCTTGACCTTGGCAGGATCCATGCGAACGTGTCCCTCCTCAACAATCATGCCCAGGTACTCGATTTTGGTTTGCTCGAACTCGCACTTCTCAGGCTTGAGATAAAGCTTGTTCTCCCGTAGTATGCGTAAAACCTCGTGTGTGACACACTGATGTTCCTCGAGTGTCTTGGTGAAGATGAGGATGTCGTCGAGATAGACAACAACGATGCCTTCATGAAGGAGGTCACGGACGAGCTCGTTCATCATGGCCTGGAACGTGGCGGGCAAGTTGGTGAGGCCAAAGAACATGATGGTTGGTTCGAAGAGACCCATGTTGGTACGGAATGCAGCCTTCCACTCGTCGCCCTCCTTAATGCGCACGTTGTTGTATCCCCAGCAAACGTCCAACTTGGTGGAGTAGCGGGCACCCTTGAGCTTGTCGAGAAGCTCTTGGATAAGCGGTAGCGGGTAACGATTCTTCACGGTCATCTCGCTGAGCTTGCAATAGTCCTGGACAGGGCGTAGCAAGCCATCCTTCTTTTTGATGAAGAAGAAGGGAGAGGCCATGGGTGACTTGGATGGACAAATATGGCCAGACTTGGGGTTCTCCTCGATGAACTTGTGTTGGCCACTGGAGCCGGTGCAAGCGACTGCTGGGCTGGAGTGCCCCAAGGGCGCCAGTTGCTATTGCGTGGCTGCCCCTGGTTGGTGTTGCGCGATGGCTGCTGTTGCTGCCATGCACCCGTGGACCGGCCGGTGTTGTTGTTTGCGCCGGTTGACTGGTTGCACGAGGACAAGTTGCCTGTGGTTGACTGCGACGAGGGCTGGTCTGGATGATCTTTGCGCCACTGCCTGTCGAATAACACGGTGTCCTCATACCAGCCCTATAGCGTGTCCGGGCAATGCTTGCCCTGGCCGTTGACCTTGTCACGGATGGCAGGCTTCAAGCTCTTCTTGTAGAGCTCGATGAGTGTGGTGTTGTTGAAGCCCGTATGGCCGGCCCAGTCCTTGAACTGACGTGTGTGCACCTCCGCAGACTGTACGCCTTGTTGCATGGACTGGATCTTGGCAATGACCGTCTTCTGGATGTCGACGTCCTCAAACTGTTGGAGGAAGGCCTGTGAGAACGTGTCGAGATTGAGAAGCGGGCCGGTGTAAGCCGGTATCGGTAGCCCCTGTTGCTAGGCTCAATCCGCCATTTGCCGGTACTCCGCGTAGTCGGCCATGATCTGCTCATACCACATGGCGGCGGACTGGTCGAGGAGTGTGGAGACCAGCACAATCTTGTTGTGGCCGGTGAGCGGGTTGCCGGCAGCTTCCTCTTCTGCGACGAGGTAATTCCGCACGTTGCGGACGAAGTCGCATGGCGTAGAGTCATAGACGCCCTTGTCAGTGAAGACGCCAGAGAACGTGTGCGGGGCGTGGACACGGATGTGCGAGCGCTGCGGACCTGGCACTTGTTGGACAATGATTGGCTGGGGTGGGGCATTGAGTTGAGCCTGTTGGTTGACAACCATCTGCTGCAAGTCGCGGATTTGCCGGTCCTTGGCAATGATGACCACATTGGCATGGGCGTCCGCGGACAAGGGCGCAGGGGCCAACCTGACATTTGTATGTGCCCACCAGGTGACCACTCCGGTATCCGGGTTGGTCTCCTTCCAGATTAGTAGGTCGTTCTCCAGGGTGCGCGGAAGGCGATAGTTGTCTGCATCATCTGAGCCGATATGAAAACCACCTTACGGAAGATCCGCTGGATAGTTGGCGGCGTCGACAAACGGCATGATTAAAACTCAGGTGGGAAGTCTTCGGGATGCGTAGCGGGTGTGGGTGAAGCGGCGGGTTCAAAGTTGAAGGTGATGGCCTTCGGGGTGCGGAGAGGCGAGGGCAGCGGCGAGGGTAAGCGATGCGAGCTGATGACGACCGATAACTGCGATGGGTCCCAGATAATAGCCGGTACGGGTCCGTCGCAAGTGAAGCATAAGTGTTGGAAGGCGGGCTCGTACGTGTAGTGAAGAGTGTCCAGGCGGTCTTCACGATAGATGACTTCCAAGCTGATGAGGCGGCTGTACTCTACCAAGAGCCTGCCGGAACTACGTTCGATGTAGTTGGTGAGAACGACGGCGTGCTCAAGGTGAGCGCGTTGCGAGCGGCGAAG